CAAGCAACATTTGTTCCTCTAGAACCATTGAAAGAGCCAAAATGATATGTTTTTGTATAATATCTATCAAGATTAACTTATCCCAAAACAAAATAGTTGAAAATTTAAACTTTCAACACACACACAATTAACTACCATTACAGTACTAAATATATATATATTTGTATTGAACAGCAGGTTATGATTATGTATACAGAAAGACATTTTTAAAGCAAGGGAAAAGTGACTTAAAATCACAACTATACTGTAAATTTCCACCTTTTACAACAGTACCATAATCATTTGATCTATAGACCATTATCATTAAACCAGATTCAGATACTGACAAAATATTCTTAAGGATGTGAGAATATTGAAGACTTTCCCTTCAGTTACTGACAACAGTAAAATTTCTTACACTATGTCAGAAAATATACAGTTGCTTGCAATGGTTGCTGTGAATCACCCAGGTGAGTGCTGCACAGGTGATGGATGTAGTGGGATCCCTTGAGATAAAAGACACTGTATAAATGCAAGGCCTTAAATAAACAGCAAATCTTTGGAACTACTGACAATGGTTTTTTTTTGCTGAGAAAAGATTGGTAGTGGCTACTGTGGTTGGGGAAATGGAAAACCCACTATTCATTTTATTTCTTCCTATATTCTTCCAGAAAATGAATTTGCCTGTTTTTCTGTAAAATACCTAGGATGTATCAGAGCAGTGTTCAACCTCTTGCTTCCCAATGATTCAGCCTTAGGGTCTTGCTTTAACACCTTTCTGTTAGAAATGAAACCATTACAGTGTATTTCCAACAAAGCAAATTTAAATGATAAATTACCAGTTGCTTAACCACATACAGTACATTAAATAAAGAGGTAGAGATGCACAGTATTAGCATGATGATTTTAAGAAAGGTAGCTTGACTTGTTAAAAGAATGCAGATGCCTGCTTGTTTTATATGAGTTTGGGGTTGGCTTGGCAACCACCTCTTTTAAATCTGTAGCAGTGTGACAGAGTGCTTGTTATTTTTTCTTTCTTTTACTGAATGTAAAATACTCCAATATTCCCCTCTACCCTTCTGGTATGTTTGAGAGTGTGCATGTGATACGAATGAAGTGTGAATGATACTTACCCTTTTGTTGTTTCCCTAAAATCATTGCAGTGTTCTCCCCGTTGGAGTATTGTATTGTGTTGATCAAGATGGCCACCAGTCACCTTTCCTGTTTGTAGTATCACACAAATGATCTTAAAGGGAAAGGTTACTGGTGAGCCATCTATAAATAACCGATGTAAGGTTAGTTGTTTTGTTTAAGTGAATATATCATGGTTGCATGACTCTGTTAAAATTTATAATTTTTTTTTGGCTGTTTATTTTGGTCAAACTGCCTATCTCTGTTAAGAAAATGTGATGAGTCCCTTTAAGAGGATGGTCCTTAGAAGAGGAGGGGCTATAAAAGGGACTGGGAGAGCTCAGTATGGAGAGGGTGCCTTGGAGGAAAGGTGTGGAGAGTACTTCTGTGGGGGGGGGGTTTGTGATCCCTATTTTGAGGGCAATGAATCCAGTTTTTTTTTTGCATTTGAAGACTGCTGTGAAACTTTTGGAGTTTCTTTTTTTTTAAGCCAAACTGACTGAGCGACCAGGTGACAAGCAGGTTTAAAGCAAGATTATCATAATTTCAGCCTTCATTTCAGTCATCAGGAATCTTCATTCAAATTATAAATCATATAAAGGAATAACATTGCAAATATTTTAAAACCTACATAGTACAGTGTCAGTCAGAGAAGTAGAACAGGAATTACAGATAACAATTGACTAACTGAACCTCTTAGAACAAGGGTTCCCACCTCTAATTGTTCATCAGGAGAATATATACACCTCTAAATATTCTACAGCTTAAAACACAAGGAACGTAGGTCCTCAGAAATCATAGGGCAGGGGCCCTCTGTTAACACCCATCAGTAGCACTACAGATTGCTATACTACTGCCAGCAGCCATATCACTCTGCAACTCACAACTGCCAACCCACTGAAGCTAAGCAGGTGTGAGCCTGGTCAGTACCTGGACAGTAGACCTGGGAAAAACTAAGGTTGCTGCTGGAAGAGGTGGTAGTGGGGCCAGCAGGGGGCTTTCACCCTGTGGTCCATGTAGGTCCTAATGCCCCAGTATAGTGACGGGGACACTATACTGTAAACAGGTGCCGTCCTTTGGATGAGATGTAAAATGGAGGTCCTGACTCTCTGTGGTCATTAAAAATCCCTGGGTATTTCTTGAAAAGAGTAGGGGTGTAACCCTGGATTTCCCATTTGCCCTTATCAATCATGGCCTCCTAATAATCTCCATCATTATTGCTTCATTACTCTGCTCTCCTCCCCACTGATAGCTGATTTGTAGTGAGCGTTCTGGCGCACTATGGCTGCAGTCGCATCATCCAGGTGGATGCTGCACGGTGGTGGTGGAGGGGAGTCCCCATTATCTGTAAAGTGCTTTGAGTGGGGTGTCCAGAAAAGCGCTATATAAGTGTAAGCAATTATTATTATTATTATTATTATTATTATTATTATTATTATTATTACTCAAAGATTAAAGAAGAACATGATGCACCAAATGCACCAGTTTGTACCAAGGAAATGAGGATATGGTCTGTATTCATGAAGTAAGAAGCAAATATTAAACCAAGCAAACAGTCCTACTTAAGTTAGATCAAAGAAGAGCAATTCTAATTGGGATGAAATCTTGTAAAATGAGAACACTATTGTCTGCAATTTAGCAAAATGTTCTTATGCAGGATATAATGCAGTTTTCCTCTGGTCCTGATGGGAAGATTTATGTGTTATAATATAGGAAAAGAAGAAAAATACAGGAGCCAGAAACAATATTACAGCATGGTGGAAAAAACCAAAGGGTATAATTAATCCAATTAATTACATTGATTATTGCCTTGATCATTGAGTAAAACGACAATGATTAAGAAATCAGATCAGATAAAGTTTGTGTTTTAAGTGTATTCTTTGGAAATGCCACAAAAGGACTAATGATTTGGACTAGAGCCGCATTGAGCAACCTTGTGATTACTTTTAATAAGTAATGCCAGTTGTAACACATTTGTCCTTCAAATAAAAAAAGTTGCAAAGAACATGAGTTTGGGCAGAATACAGTATTTCCTCACTGGCCCACTGGCTACAATCAAACTGGAAATACCTAGCAACTGTAAAAATTCTGAAGGTCTTCCTTTGGTATCAATATTTTGTAGACTTCAAAACAAACAAGAAAAATTATGATGATTTAGGAATTACATTTTAAACAAATTCAAACATACTGTAGTACAGCTACTAGTACAATGATAATAATACCACTAATACAATGAAACTGTTTTCCATAATTACTTAATTTTGTAGAGTTTTATAAGAAGATATAATAGGAAAATGGTAAGGTATGATGACTACTTGTGGATAATTCTCTGGGTAAATTTAGAAATGTATTAATTCTCCATATGAGGAACATCAGACAAATCTGTAATATTTAAACTAATTTTTTAATTATTCTGCATACTAAATGAATTGGTGAATATGACATTGGTGAATAATATACGATATGAAAGAAGCAAAAGCCTTAAGCTCAAAAGCAGGACTTTCATTTTCGTTGTTTTGTGTATAAAATGCCACTTCTGCCTTAAAGCAATCTAAAAGGTGAATTGTAGTTTGACTTGAAATTTCGATGCTGTGACATGTATTCTCCGCCCTTCGAATTAATTTAGACAACTACAGTACTTCTTTGCCGGCTCTTTACACGTACAGTACAAGTAACAGTTCCGAACAACTGATAAGTGCAATGCATTGTCTTGACCTGGCGTTGCATTCTGTAGGATGTGCCGTCCAGGCTGATGGCGTTGGAATCCCTGACATACTGGCAGCAGGCGCTTGAGTAACACGAGATAGAGCCCGCTGCCTGTACCGTGGAGGATCCTGTCAGTATAGCTGTAATACAGCAATCTGACACTAGCATGCGCACTGCAGCCTCATGCCAATTTCAGTCTCCTCGGCAGCTAGGCAGCAGCGACTGGCCAGGCAACAACCTCTCCAGTTCCTGTTTCCGCCTCTCAGCTTTCAACATATTTTCTATAATATTCCTCTGAAACGACAAATTGTGTTGCCGTAGACTGTGCGGATCAACCGAAGCTTTAGTGCACTAAGGAAGGTAGGTATTTTTTATTTCTCCAATACCTCTCCCTCAAACGTGCTGAATAAATGTTGATGCAGTCAGTGAGCGGTTTCCATCCCCCTGGCCTGTTGCTGAGGTGCTTTTCTCTTGCTGCTGCTGTTGTGATCATGATGACAAAATAGCGGTCAGGGACGGTTTGCGTATGTGGTCCCGTTAGAACTTGTCTCCGGTCCGACCGGAGCATTTCCATCTACAGGGGAACGCATCGACAGATGTTTGCATTCGAACTTACCCCCCTTTCGGTCGAAAACCATTCGTTGTGAACGTGAAGGGGTGGTAGGAAGATGTAGCAAGAAACAAGAAAATGCAGCCTTTTTATTCAATGAATACCTTGCAGGGAGTAACGGCGCAAAACATACAAAGAAACAAAGCAAGTGACATAACGCAATAACACGGAAATAAGCTCAGTTTTCAGCTCCATTTGCAGTGATTCTATATGCTTCATGGAAATTCTCTTCGTTAACCGTAGCAAATCTGGGACTACTGTCCTGGTTATTTTAAATAATACATTAGAGGTAGCTCCTGTTCCCCACACTGTAGCTATTTCTAGACGTAATGTGCTTGACATGATTTTTTAAACACTTTTGGGAAATTATTTGTTATATTTCCCGTTATGCTGCACTATACGCCTACTTACCCTTAAAAAACAACATACAGATGAGCGGTTGTTTATAGAAACCTGTATTGTTTTAAACTAGGGTTCGCGATAGAAATGAGGAATTCTGACAACGAATCTGTCTTCCGAAAAGCTCACATTCATAAGAATAGTTGACGTCTTCTATTAGTATAATAATATTGTTTAGTTTGGGAAAATAGCCTTTCGTTTCTTACAGTATGTGTGCAATAGAAGAGCCTTGGGTGTTATTGTGTGTTATTGTGTGTTTTGATCCTTTTACTACTGTAACCTTTTGGATTTTGGACATTATCAAAATTACTTTAAATGAGAAAATATTTCTATGTAGAATTGCGTTTAGTCTCGTCGCAGATCTTATGCGTTTTTTGTCGAGGATTCGCTCATTTGGTGTTCATCGTGCATTTTGTCAATCTTGGCTTACTGTACTACAGCACCTAGCCTGGAATCCAGAGCTCGTTCGGCTTTTTGGGAATCCTATATCATCTTGAACGTTTTACATTTTCTGCTCTTAGAGCTCCCCAGAAACTGTGGAGCAATTGTAAAGTGACGCATTCTGATCCGTGATGTTAAAAATGATGTTAGACATCATGTAACCTAATAAAAACACTTTGTAGTTTAAATCGGAGGTGCATTCGGAAGCATGTTGAATTCAGCACATTAGAGCTGAATTTTAAACTGGGTGTTTAGCCTGTTGTTGCACGTTTTGATTTTGGACACAGAAATTACTAGTTCGCATATTGGTAGGGTCAGTTATGTTGAATGTACTGTAACCTTCGTCTTAGTTTCGGGGTAAGCACGTATCGTACAATGCAGGAATAGTTACTTGGCTTCTGTATCCTACAGCTAAGGGCTGCTTTAAAGTTTTAGGCACTGTTTTGTCCGGCTAGGGGGAGCTAGTATTCCAGGTTATTGACCCTTTGAGTTTCAGCTATTTCGTGTTACTGATAGCTGTTTAATAGTTAACGCGGTGTTGGAAACAGAACTACATGCATTAGTGACATTTGCCACAGAGTAAATTGGAATTGCAGGTTTTCGTCTAGATTTCAAATTCCTGTACACCTGTTGTGTTGCAAACGGGTAAGAAGACCTTTATGTACTTACTGTATATTGGCAAGGTGTTCATTTATTTTTGCAAAATGACACTAAGAATATTTAAAGGGGAAATAGTGATAATAGTGTGATGTCCACGAAACAAAACTGCAACTCAACATTTACAAATGTTTTTGCATCTCTACTGAAAGCTAAGAAAATGCAAAATAGATATATTGGTTTACAAACATTTACACTTGCATATGTTAAAACGCTATTGCCTTTTATAAAACTGGAAATGTGCTGGTCAATTTGACTTTAATATTCCACTTTTTCATTTTTGAAAATATTTAGTCCTGAAAATATTCAGAAGAGGAAAAAAATATTTTTTCTACTTGCATATTCTAAACATTAACATGATAAGGTGAGAATAACATTTTTCTAGTACTATATTATATTCTTTCTTACCAGAGATTTAAGTGATGTAAATGAATTGACAAGCACATTTACAATAACAAACTACAGGCATTTGAGAATAACAGCTGTTCATTCTAGCAGTCTGTTTTAGAATAGTTAGCTCTGTGCTTTAAATTGTCATTTTAGGTTTTCTGAGATCATGTTTCTGCAGAATTCAGCTGAGTCGTACAAGTTACAGGACTGTTAATTATTAACAGAGGTAAGTTACCAGTTACAGTTGCTGATTATCACACAGCCCTTGTTATGCGTTTAGTATGGTAATAACTTGAAGAGTACTTCTGCAAAATATCAACATACAGTAACTGGGAAACAATGTTTTATTGACTTACAGTTACAAGGATACCTGAAAAAGTTAACTGTTGTATGTAAATTGACTCAATAGTTTGTGTATTAACTATAAATAAACCATTACAGACTACAATTCAATATTTGTTTAATCCAAACTGCAGTACTATTTTAGATGCTAATAAACAACTGCAGTGTTACTGTTGTTAAGTTAACCATTAAGTGCACTCTCTTATGTCAGGAATGATCCTGTACATTAAGATGCCTACTTCTGGAAATCCACCAAAAGGCATCTGTGGTTAGAAAGCATCATATACCCTACTGTTAAACTCCTTCCAGTAGAATAGGCTTTTATTTATCGAGATACAATTTAAGAGCCTTTTTTAGGATGTTATGTCATTGAGCCATTATTTTAGGCTATCTTGATGTATTGTGTAGATACTTCTATTAGAAGTCTTATGCCACTAAGTTGGGATGGCTGTATGTTGTAATGGAATGCCACACGTAACAGTTCAGTGGTTCAGACTGATGGAATTTAATGAATCAGTCTATCTTATAATTTGAATGCAGTCCCTTTTTATTAATAGTAGCATCAGGGTACCCCAGAAGTATGCTGCAGTGTGGTGCTGTCACTTAGAAATGCTTTTTTTACAGATTCATTCATATATGTTTGTGTTAATACTTCCATAGTAAGTACACCATACACCACAAAACTCTCCAAATTTTGTAAAATATTAAAGGTATCTTCCTCCCTAGTCAGCCAAGTGTATTATTGGACAACATAATTTTATTGTTCACCCATTAGTCATTTAAGAACCGCAGAAATAAGTGAGCTTATTGTATTCACACATTGTCTTTTTAATTTGTAAATTAATCTGCTAGTTTGAATACTGTAAGTGCTTAGTAAATTAAGAATAAATGTCACGGTTAAGAAAGCATAGTGCTTGCAGTTGTACAGGAGATGCGTTTGATTCCTGTGGTGTTACTTTATGATTTTACTCTATTTTATCACTCTGAGGATTACTGCATTGTTAAAATGCTATTGCCTTTATTGCTGAAGAAAAACCTTAGAAAACCTTAACAAAGCACACATCTTACAACAGATACTAAGCAATAAAACAGTGTAAAGGAGTTTGTTTAAAAACCAAAGTATGTATTTTATCTAATACTTAGTCTTGATTTTATAGAACTGGTTTTATTAGTATCTTATCAATGTTGATTTAGCTGTAAATACAACTTATAAGTATTTCAAAATAAAAACAAATAGCTTTTAAGCTTTAATAATATGAAAAACAACTTTTTAAGAAGAGTTCTATAAAATGACTTACAGTTTAGTATACAGTATATTTATGTGTTTTTAATGTTGGGCTTTATGTTTTACTGAATGCTTTGACATCTGAACTGTTGATTTTATTAAAATAATGAAACCCAAAATGCTTTGTGCTTTTCAATTCACAAATGACACAAGCAGTATATGACTGTGGAACATGACTAGATTTAACATGTTGCTGTAAATATGTGGAACATTCTACATCAGAATGCAAGGTCTGTGATTAAGTTGAACATAAGAAAAGTAAACAACAAAACGAGACTTTTCGATCTAGACTGTCTGGTAGTTATTAGCTAATCCATGCATCTCTCCTAGCTGTTTCTTGGAAGCAGCCAAGGTATTGGCTTAAACAGCATGGTTGAGTAGCCTGTTCTAAACTCTAACAACCCTTTGTGTAAAGATGTGCCACCTGTATTATCATTGCGTTTATTTTCCTTTAATTTGTCTGCGTCATCAGGAGAGTTTGTAGTGGCATTTGCCTTTAGCTGTTTCTGTGTTGTTTGCATGATTCTGTATTGTAATAGTGTTTTTGTCTATTTGTGAAAATAATTCTATTATCCGTTTCTGTATAGTTGTCAAATTCACAAAAATTTGAGACTACAGCTTGCCAGCAAAAGGTAAATTTAAAAGGATAGTTTCTCGCTGAAATGAATTGAAAACAACAACACAAGAAATTATTTTTTTTGTGGATGAGGTATGGTTTATGACATCTGTAATTATCAGCTGTTCAGTTACTTATTGCATATAAATGAACATTTGCTTTGACTGACACCGTGTTACAAAATTACTTTCTGAAATCCAGGAACAGTGTTGACAAAGCCACATAATGGCACAAAAATTAGAACATTTTTAAAAATAACTTTCAGCTTTAGTTTTGAGAGCTATGGGAAAGTTTCAGAACATTTCCCTTTACCAAGATGTAACAATACTTTTACTTAATCTTGTCATGTCTACTGTTAACTCTCTGTATTTTTAATATGTACTAAGATATTGAAATACATTTTATATGTATATTAGTCTGGTTTTACTTTGGTGGACCAAAAGAATCATTTATTTGGAATTACACAATTAGAAGCAATGAGACATATTTCCAGAAACTGTTTTTAGTAGAAATATTAAGTGACAGACTTAATGCGAAAACATACCACGTTATTGTAGGACATACAATAAATTGTTGCTTATCATTGTATCCTTTATTATTTGACTGGTTAGCCCACTTTATTAAATCACTGGTTGAAGTTAGTTTATAGATCTTTAATTGGGGAACCACCTTCCTGACATTTGTAATGCATTGTCATTGTACGATTTTATAATTTAAGACGTAGTACTTTTATCAAATTGAGCCAAAAGTTTTGGGCACATATCAATTTGCCACTGACAGTGACCTTACAGTCTGCAGAGTGAGCTGAAACAATCCAGCTTTCTAGCTGGGAACATTTTCAATTGTACAATTAAATCTTTGCCTGATGCTGGCACTTGTTAACACTACCGTGCCTGATTATGTTATTCACATTCTACTGACTGCTTTTTTTTCACTGCTTCTTTTTCTGTCACAATGATGCGTGAGTCTCTTGTGCAGAATGTCTGTGTAAAAGAGAATTTGTTCTCAGCTGACATACTTTAGGCTATGTGCTTTAGGATGATGATGATGATGATTTTTATCCGGCAGAGGATTCCTACTCCATTGGGCCCTTGAGCAAGGTCCTTAACCCAAACTGCTCCAGGGATGCCTTGTAAATTGCTGACCCTGCGCTCTGACCCCAAACTTCTCTCCCTGTCTCTGTGTCTGTGTGTCACATGGAGAGCAAGTTGTGGTATACGATAAAAGACACATTTCTAATACAAGTAATTGTATATGGCCAACAATGTGATCTTATCTATCTTATTTGTGCTGGGATAGCTGTGCCTTTGCCATCTCAGGTACGTTCTAAGACACAATGATATATTGTAATTGATGCATTGTGGGGGGAGAAAGAGTGGGGCTTGTTCAGAAGCCTTGTGGTGACTGTTAACAGAAAGCGCTTAGGGAACTGCCACGTCAACCCTACACTTGTTTTAAGCTGACGGATAACAGGGGTAAAGCTTGTCAGTAAAGTGCTAACCACATGAAGCACTGTCTCCTGTTACCTAGGGTAACATACCGTTGATTCATAATAACACTCACAGTTCACTTCATGACTCCACCGTCTGAAACAAATCTGTTACAATATAAATTCATCATGCAGTGTTACCACATACAGTTCCATAAACACTTGCAGACAACCAGAATGTAAATTAATAAAATATGACATTCGTATTGCAATGGTACTGGAAAGGAAACATAGCATAGAAAATGATCTAGATATTGTCAGCTTCCTTTAAGTGATATTGTACAGTATGTGCAAGTTTTAAAAGTATTGAAGGTATGACATGAGGCAGTCTCTTGAATTCATGTCCTGTCGAAGATTTCTACACACCACTGGGCATTATAATGGCGAGATGGACACAGTTGGCCACCCTCAAGGGAAACATTTTTTACCTTTAGTCCAAGAGCAACATGTTTTGCTGACAGAACTTTAAAAATGACACTAGTGTCTAAACAGAACTGAAATGATTCTGGTATAGTCTTTTTTAAAAGAAGTCAAGCCAAGAGATAAGTGATATTCCATTCCTAGTAGTTGACTTAATTCACCTGATAAGTGGATGAATGTGGAAAGACAGAGATGTCCCAAATTCAGCAGGAAAGACACTATTGTTTAACCGAACTCCTTTTCAGTTTAGAAAAGTTGTGGACTGTTGTTTCATCTATTTTACTATTTAGAAGAATACAATAACAGCCATAATTGTTTTAGTCTTTCCAAAGATTACATATTTATATCCACTAGAGATGTGGTGTGAGGACAGCTGGAATTTAGAGTAGGGAATTAAAGTGTGAAAGTAAAAAGGTCTGCAGAGTGAGGCACGGTTTTGAATCCCCTAACCTTTAAATTGTGACCCTTTTTGTCAGCAGTTTGACTTACCAGCTGTAAATATGCTCTCATTAATTTCTGCAAGAAGTGCAAAAGAACAAATGAATGAATTGACAAATGAGTGGAAGCCATTTGGTCAGTTTAGGTTTTAGTATTTATTTTGTTGTTGAGCATCTCGTTCCAGACACCCACATCCCTTTGTGTAAAAATTTACCTTTTGTTCTCCAGTTCTTCGTCTTAAAATACATCTGCATTTTGATAGAACTTGCAGTTCTACAACAAATTTGTGAACGGTCAAGAGCCTTTTCAGAGCTGGAGAAAAGAGAACATCAGAAATGGTTTTGGAGGCTGATTCCAAGGTGCCAACCGATGTAGCTGGAGACCAACTGGAATCAACAGTGTACAGTAATCCAAAGAACAGTGCTGAAATATGTGGGCATGTTGCCATGGTGACTGAAGTTGTGACTTGCCTTTTAGCTGAGGATAGCTGTACCTGATAACAAGTAGTGCCTTTGTTTTTTTAGAGAGATCATTTTGGAACTTGCTTTGCATTTTTCCTAACTACTTCATAACCAAAACAGCAGAGATAAGGTTGGCTTTTGAAAGATACCCAGAGTCACTGATCGAGACCCCTGA